CTTCCATTCAGCTGGATAACAGTTCAGTCGTAAGAGAGCTGAATGCTTGCCTGCCCTTGATGTAAATGGGATGAAACCACTTGCAGGACTTGATCCTTGAAAATGAAAGAGGAAAGCAAAGGATGAAATCCTGGATCCTCCTCTGAGGTCAAGGGGATTTCTGCTCTTCAGTACACTTATCTACCAACCCACCACTCCTCTCTAGCACACTCTTTTGGGCCTTCAAAGTATTTCTGTTTTGGATTCTGCCGTACAGCTAATAATAAAAACGACAGGAATTCACATATAAATATTTTTCAAGATTCCATTTTAAATCACTGCAGTTTCCACATGTACTCACTTTTGGATGAAAATTATGCAGACAGTCCCACCAGAATAAAAAAAACCAAGCAAACTGTTTTCTTCAGAAGAGAATACAATCAATTACCAATATTTCATAGATTGGCCCCACCTCACACAAGGACCACAGGTTGTTTCAACAGAAAGAGTAAGAACAACTGGTAGGAAGAAGAAATTATTTTATTTTTAATTGCACATCATGGAATTTAATTCAGTTTTTAAGAAAGATCAAAACTGCTTTCAAAATTCTTTAAGCAATTTTTACAAGATCACTAGCTGTGCTTTGTTAATCACCTTATTTCAGCTAGTTAAATGTATCTTAACATCTTTCAGGTGCACTGGGATTCATTATCACTTTATTCATCATCATATAAAAAGACATATATAAATAATAGAACACATAGCTCAGAAAGAGGAACTGTTATGTCTTCCTTGGTTCATAATCTGACAAAAGTTCTTCAGAATTTAGCTGTAGTGCTACAACTTAGTAGAACAGCACTGAAATGAGGAAACTTAGTGTTATCCCAGAAAACACAAATAGTCTGTTTTGTTGTTTGTGTAAAGGAAAGAAAGTTCAAGAGGCAAACTCATATGCACCAATTCTGCATAGTGAAAAGCCATGCTCACGGAAGAGTCAGTGCAGCATGGAAGTAACCTTTCAGGAGTGGACTTTGGGACACAAAGTGGAGCTTAAAGAAGCACCTTTGAGGTATATCTAACTGGAACTACAAGTGACCAAAAATAGTAAGGAGCAACGGTGAGTCTTCACTTTCGTAAAGCACTTTGTGATGATTTCACTCATCAGGATTCCTTCTTTTCATCCACTTCTAACAGCTCATCAAGGAATTCCACAACTTCACCCTAGAAGGCATTAAATTTAACAGAAACAAGTTAACTTTCTACTGCAAAATTGGTGGGAAATTTTTGCTATTTTAATCAAAACATAAACTGTAATAATATGTGTCCAAATATTTTTAACACCCTTCATGTAGATACAACAAGCCTATTAAAGGCAAGTAAATGGCCCGTACTGGAGTAACACAAGTACTTGCAGGGACACACAGACTTAAAAGAAGGAAATGTTACACTTTACAGTAAATCCTATTGTACTTTTTCAGGTACTTAAATAGACAATGAAATCCTCAAACTTAGAGAGGAATAAATGCTTAAAGCACCTGTCAAATCAGGAAATTGTTAAAATACCATAAAAAATTAAAGAATTTTAGAAAGCTTCAAAATTCAAACTGATAGTGTTTTGTAGAACCATAACTTTGACGATATATTTGTCTGCTCTAACTGTTTATTTCCCATCACACCCTTCCACACACACCTTTTCAATTTTCAACCCCAGATCTTCATATGTCATGACTCAATGCAGCAAAAATGTGAAGAACCAGAGAGAGATAACAGAATGTTTTTCATACTGGAAACAAATACACTGGGTTTAGAGTCAGCCCAGGAAATACTGCATTTACAAGCTCCACTCTGCTAATACAGGGTACCAACGCAACATAAATTTCCTTTATTTAAACTACTCCTAACATAGTTATATGTTATATTTTGCCACAGTAAAATGTCTTCTCACAGTCATGCCTGAGTATTTTGGGATGATACAGCCCCACTGACTGGAACTTACAGTCTTGTCAACTAAGCTACAGTAACTGAGCTAAAACCTGTTGTAATCATTTACAGCCCAGTGTAACACCTTCAGTGCTAAAAACCAAGTAGTCAACAGCAAATGTGCAGCAACCTCTCAAACTACTCAAAACTGACTGTAGCAGCCCATCTGCTGGCACACTCAGAAATACCAGTGATTTCTGGTTTGCCTTCCATACACAGTTCAGAAACACTGCCAGAGATGGGAGATTCTGTGGGAATGTCTGTGCATATTTGCACTTTTTGGTACAACTCAAAAGCTGAGCTGTACGAGAGATGTGGATGCTCAAAATTACATTTCCAACCTTTTATTCTAAGAACTACAATCTCCCGATAACCTCTTAATTTCACTACGTTTTCTTTAAACTTTTCTGCCTTTCCTTCTTGACATGCTCTAAAAGGGTCTTAAGATGTCATTTAGTTTTTTTCCAAAACAAATTGTCACTTTCTGACAGAAAAAATAGTCTGCTGGAAAATCTGATCAGCTCTTACTCACTCTCATGTTTAAATTAATAAGAATTTATAGCAGTTATGTTGAAAGCAAGCCGTCTTTGCATGGATGCTCATTCTCCCTTTTCCCTTCACAACCCATTTCAAGTCTTTGTGAACTGTATTATGCTTCTGACTCTGCTTAATGAAGACTGCAAACAGTATTTTACAATCCTTATTAAATTTTAAGCACATTTTTGCCTAGAAAGATATTCCTTAGAAAGACAGCCTCTTCCAGACACATACATTTTGAGAGGCAAAATTTTACAATTTTCTATTCTACTGAGGAAAGGCTGTTAAAACCTCTGTCACTGAAAACAGTACAATTAAATACAGAATTTTGGCTATTTTTAATACAATAACAGTATTATGGATATTGTAACTAAAAAGCACTAACATCATATTTTTCAGAAGTGCGATTAGTGAGGAGATAAATAATGAGAACCAAACAAGCAAAAATAAAAGTTGGAGAAAAGCTGGCTGAAATAGCTGCTGCTCTTGTTCCCTGCTTCACAGTTCCATCTCAAAAGACCACTGAGTTTTTCCAACTATGAAGCAGTATTAGCAAGTCCTGAAGGATGGCAATTTATTGTGCTTTGGATTTTTTCAAAAGATTTAAGCATCCAATTCAGTAAAACTGCCAACACTTTCGTATTCCCTACTTGTCTTTCTGGTTGCAAGAAATCTGGTTCCTGCAATTGGAAAACAGGAATTCAACGTTTCTGCATGTTTTCTGTTGTTAGAAGAATTTTGATTGCCTAAGTAGCGCAGTCGAGGGAGGAACTCAATACCACTTCACAAATGCACATGAAAAGTAGCCTCTGGGTCCAGTAGTCACTACACAAGCAGTTGGAAGATACAGAAACAGAACACAGAGGACTTCAGGTCAAGTTTTATAGCACAGGTCCTAAACCTGTGGGCATTCAGGTGCCTCTTGAAGGACTGCAGACAGGCAGGTGCCACTAAACTCTGAACAGTTACGAGCCCGGGAATCCAGCTGTCTACTACAGCGGTCCCAGATCTAACTCAAGCTGATTCTTTTACACCTCAGGATCATACTTAAATGAAAGAAAAACAGATATGAAAAAGGATTTATCTCCTCTGTCTACCTGCAAAGACAACCTTCAAACGGTTAAGAATCTGAGAAGGAGGGTGAATGGAATAAACATCTTACTGGATGACCCAGAATTAAGCATAAGGAAGACATGGAGATTTCAATATTACACCTTTGGAACTCAACCATATGGGAACTTAATTCGATTCATATTACTGTTGCACACTCATCAGTAAGGATATTTTGGAAGACACAGGAGATACAGATAGAATTCAAATTTTTTACTTCTGGTATGTTTTCAAATTTAGAAACATATGAAAATATATGAAATATAGAAATCCATGGTTCAAATGGAAAAGGATATTTAAAAGCAACAATATTTGGGAAAAAAGACTGATACCTGAAATCTCTGGTGCCTGAAACTGAGCTCTAAAGGAAAGCTTCACAGAAGCTGTTGTGGTCTAATTGGGCTTACTGAGAAGTAACAAAGTTTGAAATGTGGCAAAAATATAAAAAAAGTTGCTGAAACAATATACATACATAAAATATGCTGCAATGCAACTGAATAATTGCCTGGATGTTGGTTATTTTTGAAAAGGCAAAACCTCCAGATTACACTTAAAGAAAACCAAAACCTGCACTTAAAATAGTTTTGCCTGTGCCTTCGTAATCAGAATGTAAAATATTTGCAAGTTGTCCATAGAGCAGTTGGCAGCCTAACGAAAAAGCGATAAGGCTGCCTCAGAAGAGTTGATCGCATTGTCACACTGGCAGCTGGGACCAGACTGATCACCGTCCTTGTCCCATCAGTGCTCACTTGACACCAGGCGTTCAGTATGACTAAAGTCAGTAAATATTTCACAGGTGTTCATTCTAGGGAAAAAGCCTTCTGCCTGCTCACATCTAGTAACTTCCTGCTGGCCTGCATATCTGGAGTATGAAATGAGTCTTGGGTACTATCTAGCCCTTCAGTATGACAGAGTTCCTCATGTTATTTGGTACAGCTCCTTCCTGCCCTTAAAGAAAGAACATCAAATTTTACATGCAAAATCAGCTGGAAACCCATAATGCTTTCCCCTGCCAGCTACTAGAGGGGACAACAGCCACCCACCTCTAATGCAGGTTACATAAATATGCTGCTCAAACATGGTGCTGATGCAAATCATGGGTGAGCAATATATGGCCCAAAGCATGATGCAGCTGTTCAGCTGATAGTTAGGAAATCAGTATGTGGGGTCTGACTAAGCCCAGGGAAGAGAACAGTTTGCTGCCAGGCCAGTACATGCCTGATAGTTAGGCAGCCAACAACAGGGAAATACACGCATGTGGGCTGCCTCGTCAGCTGCAGCAAAACAGGTCCTCCTTGGCTGGCCCTTGGTCCACAGCGGCTGCCTCCAGGTTTGCACTGGAGGTCAGGTACCTGCTGCAGGTTCAGCAGCTCTGTGGTACCCCACAGCCTCCCTCCCTGTGCTACCAACCTCTTCCCTCTCCAGGGACAGTCAGTGGAAAGTGGGACTGACAGAGCAAGGGTGTATGGTAAAAAGATGGAACAGATATAGCCTGAAATATGGGAGGTGTGATATCGAACAGAAAAAGGAGAATGTTTCCAGACCAGTGTGAGTGGTTCAAAGAATCAGAGAAACTGATCTGACCAACTGGAGCCTCTAATCATCTGTCACATATGCAATTTGAGCATCCTTGGCTTAGATTAACAACTCAACAGAGGCACTGGACAGAACGAACAAGTTTTGTGGCACAGTAATTAATTCAAGAAGGTTTCACAGAGGATATGTGAATAAGTGGATTATAATAAAAATTAATTTTAAAACAGAGTTCTTGGTTAATTCTGAATAAGCTAACCCAGGCTATTGAGATTGGGACACTATTATAAGTGAAGCTAGAGCAGTTGGAAAAAAAAAAAAAGGCCTAAAAAAGAGAAGAATGCAAAACTCCCCACCTAGTACCTGAACCTGAATGTCCAAGACCAAGGTACATATTGGGCCAGGCCATTCCTTATGCAATGTTAAATGCTGCATTCACACACACAAAACACAACCTTTTAGAAGAAACATCTGTACTTTGGAGACTCCTAGCCAGCTATTAAAATAAACAGCAAAGAAGAAAAGCTACCAATACATGGCTCAGTTATGGCACACTTGAGACCGATGGTCCAGCCCCAACTTTTCTTTCGACAGCAGCATTTAAAAACAGCAGCCAGCAGCAGCATCTGCATTGCTCACTGACAGACCCAGACACTTTACCATTCCTTGCAAAGACTAAGCATTGCCGTCTGCAAATGCAAATATTAATCATTCACAGGTCCTTGCCTGCACCTACAATCTTGTTCTGTCCTTTCTCAGTGTGGACCGGAAAAGTTACAGGAAAAAATAACCCATACTTTCTATGCAAATCTGCTGATGGCCTTTTCTATAGGGATTCTGTATGCACTGCAGCGGGATAGCCTGTTGTTCAGGGAAGCAACAGAGAATATAAAAAAGATAGTGTACTAGAATGAATTAAGATCTATAGAAAAATGTTATCCTGGACGTGCTTTTATGTGTGATTACCTGTGAATGGATAAGAAATGGCCTTTATTCTAACTCATCCAACAAACCAAGCCTTAAGAGACAATACACAGAGCAAGAAGAACTGGCTGGATCTTTGTTTCCTTATAATCTATGACCTAGAAGGAAAATATTTATCCCACATAAATGTTCCCCAGTTGCCCTTCACAACAAAAATTCAAATTTTGCTAAAGTTTGAAGATCTTAATGATTGGAAACTTGTTTAACAGTGAGAGCAACAGATTTGATTTCCTTATGTACTGGGTGTAGGTGGCCAGGTTATGGTAGTGGGAAGGGTTGCACAAGTGGTCTCTGTGAGGAGAGGTCAAGGGTGCCCTATAACTAATGAGTAATTATCCTGTAATTGCTCTAGTAACTAATTTGAGGTACTAACGGGAGTAGTCACAAGGAGCTGTTACGAAAACCAGTGGATTTCATTCTAGAACAATTAATTATCTTGCAAGAGTGAAGAAAAAGGTTTGATACGAACGACTGTGGAGGATTTGACTCCATGAACCTGATAGAGCCAGCAAGTATACACCACACAGCTCACTGGCCAGCAACATTTTGAAGGGGGAAAACGTTATATCGGGGTAACAGTAAGGCATGCGTTAATGAGTGGCTCAGCCTGAAAGGTTTATTCAGCCTTCAACCAAGAGAAAGTTCCTTGATCTAACCTTCAGTTAAAACATGAGAGTTCACTATAACCACCGCAAAGCCCTCCCAGAACCTCCATGAGCTGTACAGACCAGTCTGGACACTCTTTGCATTCTAGCAGGGGAAAAAAAAAGAAAATCCCTCAATTTCTTGTGCAGAAAAATTATTTGGTCCTTAACTTGTTTATTTTTCAGATACTTAGTCCACAGTATGACCCACTGTCACATGCTTTTAGGGCTTTTTTTTTCAACATTAAGAGAGCTTAGTTGTTTTTTATATGTATGTTATCTAGTTTCTCAAATATTTTTCCATTTCATTTCAATGATATATTCTGAACACTTAACTGTTCTTTTCCAATATACCATGGGGGATTACAGTACATTGCAGTTATTACAATAGTATTTTGCAGTAAATCAATAAATATGCTTTCCTTTTAACGTATTTATAATGCCTATAAAACATGAGTCAACTCAGTTTCAGAGCAATTTCAACATTGCTCCGATTGCACTGAAAACAAGCCTTCTAGTGGCTTTGTTTCTGAGATCTACTTATGCTCTCTTGCCTGCTTTATGCTACACAGAGAGCCTAAAGAAGATCTGGGCAGCAGAAATTCCTCCCAATGCCAGTACCTGCAACTTGGGCACATACTGCCACTTAAGCCCAACTACGCTGGCAGCTTCCCATGGTAGGTCATTTAAATGGAAGGAAGAACATCTTTGACTAAGACACACATCCAGTGGTGCAGAAGCAAGAGGAGAAAGCAGGAAGGTCATGGAGAGCCAGCCACATGGGAAGAACCTCCACTGGGAAATCATGATGGGAAAAAAAAAATCTCTTTTTCTTTCTTCTTTGAGGAAGCATATGTTTAACAGGGACCATAACACTGCCAGTTAGCTGCCAACTCTCTCTGAAACAGCTGCCACCAGCTCTTCTCAGCATAGCGGTGCTAGTGCAGCTTTTTGAGGTCACAGGCAGGGCAGGGTTTACATGTCTGGACTTATAACTTGCTGTATATACAGCACACTTGTATAAATCATTTGAACATATGCAAAGAGGGAGTCAATAAAGCTGGAAATATATTGTTAGCAATTCCCAAACAGAAAAATAGGCTGAATTCAGATTTACTATCAGTAGTCCACTGGGCCCTTGTGCTTTGATGCTATTCCATATGTCCTCTTTCCACCAGTCACATTAGTTCAATACTTATTCTTTTTTGCATCACACTTAGGAATGGAGCATTCTAGTTTCAGCCACTATTCAAGTGGACACAGACATTATACACAAATAAAAAGAACAAGATGCCAAAAAAAGTGGGTCAAAGCTGCCAACATCTTTTCACCTACTGATTAAGTACTGAAAGAAAAATCACCTTGTAGGATCATCCCAGCCAAATACTTGTGGTTCTTATGTAATTTAGAACAGCTAAGTAGCTATCCCCCCCAAAAAAATTCCTCAAGAACACTGATTTTATGTGCCAAAAATATGTCTCATACAATTAGTGTAGTGCTGAAGTTATATCTACACTAGCTGAGTGTCTGGCTCTTAATAGCTCAGTTTGCTATTTAAATCTGCAATACTAGGAGTTGTATCCATGACAGCCTTTATGTATTACACATCTGAATAGAAATCAAAAAGCTCATCTATCCATGGCCAACTAAGATGACAACACCATAACGTTCTTTTAACTTCCCTGTGGAAAACTGCAAGGATATTTAAGAATAATTACTTTTTCTTAAAAGTAATTTGTAGGTAGTTGGCGTTAATATTCTCTGTCACCTCTTCTGTGTTAAATGTTTGAATTAGAGTTTTTCATTTCCTTGTAGAAAAACATTAATAAAGTAAGAGGAGTAGGACAGTATTTCTTGTAGTAACATATGCAAAAATCATTACTGCCTGTTCCAGCCTCTGCAATTACTGCTATGTATTACAGAAGAAGTCAAATGTTCTCACTCGCTTTGCTAATGGTATATGAAAAGACACATGGATGACCTGAGATACAGGAGCACTGAGAAGTCTGAATAAAATGAGATTCTCCACTTGAAAATAATGACACTCACATAGGAAGATATCTCTGTCCACATCAATCCTTTTACTTCAGTCAAGGAAAAAAGAGGGTTTTTTTCTGCAGATTATCTTATGAGCTTGTTGGCCCACAAGCAACTTCACAGACAGCAAACATGGACCACAGAAACTCACAGAAGTTATGGCCTATGGCCCAAGAAGCACATGGTTTAAATAAACAGAGTGCACTTCCAAGAGAGATTGCCTCCATCCTTAACAATTTTTAATAAAGTTTTTACTGTAATGCCTTATCTGGGTTTTTCATCAGTTTTCAACATTCCTATGGAACAAGTTTTTCTATCTGTGCCAGAAGAAATATTAGAAAAAAGAAAAATTCCAGTTACACTACCAGGTCCTGTCCATAGAGCAGAAACTGCAAGGTAGCAGTTTTACCTTTGTGCTATTCCTGCTCTGTCTGGAATCCCTGGAAGGCTCCGGCAGCCAAAGACAAGTTCGGGTAGCCAGGGATTTATGAGTTCACTACCAAAAGCCAGAGCCAAGGCAGAGGCATGGACAGCCTCCATCCTTCTCAGGTTCTTCAGCCCTAGCAAGGGAGGGTACAGAAGCCCTTCAGCTTTCTCCCTGGAGAAGAGAATGGTAACTTTCCTAATGCAATGAGAGTGTGAGGAAGGGATACCTGTGGCATGACCAGGCCCAGTAATTTTGGTTGTTTAACCCAAACATATAATCCAGTGTAACGTGACTTCCTTGTCAGTTCCTCAAAAGTTTAACTGACATTTTCACTGCACCTCCCTCTTGCAGACTGCAAGGTCATTTGTAATTGCCCTGATGAAAGGGGCTACGGGAATGAATGCCAGCAAATGAATGTTTGTTTCCTCTATATATAGTCCTTGAGGCTGAAGATTGTTTCTATAAACCCTCCTAGTAACAACATATGGGGAAAGCACTCACAAAGGACTGTGTCTCCCCTTCCTTAATTACTCATCCCCGTGTTTTGAAGCAACAGATATGAGAGAAGGAAAAAAATGACAAATAAGTTTATGCCTGACATAAGAAAACCTTATGGGCAACAGCACAAACCAATAAGGGAATATAAAAAGTGCTCAAGTATTTCACACTGATGACAATCCATACCAACTAGTCCTCATCTAAGCTTAACCTTTAAATAAGCTTATTAAACTGTCTTTCAGGGCATTTTATCACAATGGAAAGTCTTCCTAAAGTTTGGTAACCTTGCAATGGAATTTTACATAGAGTTGCTTTCAGGTCATGAGAATACTGAAGGCAGTGCAGACACTACTTCTCCACTATAAAATATTATCTCTCCCTATGTGATGGATAACATAAAAATTGCAAAGGTGATTTCATTTTTTAACATAAACCATCTTTGCCTTTTCTAACTAAAAGAGACATCAGCAGTGCTCATTATAGGTATCCTTGACCCATGCCATAGTTGAGCACAGCTGTTTCTTTGCCAATGCCAGCAACAAACACTTCCATCATTTGAAGATTTTTTTAAACCTCTAAATGAAAGGTCCCAAAACCAAAGCAAACAGCAATCCAAAGCCTTCCACAATTTATACTTTAATTTCAGCTGTGGGAGACAAAGAAATGCCCTTTCAACAATTTAACTACTTTTCTTGCACCCCTCCCCCCCCAAAAAAAAATCCATTTTACATATTTCCAGTGTAAATAGTAGTCATTATATGTTATTTGACCATGATTTCTAACCATTTAAGAAGCAAGACTGGGTGACCAAAATTTTACTGAGTAGAATAAAATAACAGGTAACAAGACTTCCTTTGGACAAAAATTACAATTTAGGTGGTTACTTCTGGACAAAATTATAAGGATCTCTAATATAATTCAAACACCATTTTAGGAAAAAAACCCCACACAACAACCCAAACCAACAATAACAATAAACACCCCAAAAACAAATAAACAAACAACCCCCAAAAACAAAGCAAAAAATCCCCACACCCAAACCTAGAAAAACATTTGGTTTAAAAATACATACCACTTCTCTGCCCCCTGGTGTTACAGCTTGCAAAGTAGACTTTCTTTTTTTCTGTGGGCTCAGTGCACTATATTTGCCCTTATGTTAATTATGGCAATTTTTTTAAAATTGTATGTTATGTTCTTCGAGTTCATTCTTACATTCTACTTACAAAACTAAAAATTTGTTATAAATTGGTCACAGTTTCAAGAAGATTTTTCTGTATTAGTTAAATCTTGGGATTACATCTACGTATCATTTTCACTTTAATGTGACTGCTGTTTTTTTGACCATGATTTCATTTATATAAAACTCACCTCATCATCATCCATCAGATGTTCCTTCGCAAATTCATACATTTCCAGCTGAAGTGTGGTTATTTTGTGGTATCGAACTGCCTCCTATCAAAAATCCCAAAATTTCTATGTCACTTCAGGGTAGCAAGACAGGGGAGCATCATTACACATCACCTCAAACTATTCCAGTAAAATCAGACCCAGCCTTAGTAGAAGGTAGATCCCAGGAGGGGCTTATAGTGTTTGAGAAAGGGAACAGTAAAACAGCAAGTGGTGTATCCAAACTCTTCTGTGGATCTTCATAAGCACAATCTCCATTAATCGGAGAAGAGCAAAGCACTCTCCTCCTTCTCACGTTTCAAAGCATTGGTAAGTCTGAGAATAAGGAATAAGACTGCCAGAGCTGAGTAGCAGCATGCACCCGCATTCCAGTGGGCTTTGGACATGAGAAAGCCTCTGCCTCCCTGTGTGCTGGCACTGGTGTATGGCAGCAGGCAGTTCTGGGAAAAAGAGACACTAAGCTATTTTGCATGATAATGACTCACCACCCCAGCCTGAGTCTGGACTAGTAAAATTCTGCAAGGTCACTCACCTGTCCCTCCTCACTTCCCAGCTGTTTGCCTGGACCACAGAGTGTAGCTCAGTCACATATTCTCATATTTGTGAACATCAACTCTAATCTGCTTTGACTACCTTTTGGGGAGGAAAACAGGAGACTCCCTCTTTCACAAGAACATCTTGTGACATTAGATTAGTGCCAGAGCTAAATCCTGCTGTCACCCCATTACCACTTTGAAAATAAACCAGAGGCATTATGGTTTTCATGGCAAGTGATTAGGACAGCAAGCAACTCCTGTTCATAGTTACATAGATCAAAGTACAAGAAAATACAGCTGAGTCCATTTAGTATTTTGTACTTAAAAATCAAATTATCTGTAGTCCCCAGCTACAGAAGTTATCAATGAAACATTCAGAATTCATGTGTAGGGCCCTTGTTCTGTCCTCTCTGTACATGTATGCCAAATCTACCTCCGGTTTGCAGTTTCAAACTGTTGCTACCCCTCACCATCAAACATTGTCTCCAATATGGCTATAAAGCACAGTTCTGTTCCCAAAAGCAGTGACAAAGGAGCGGTTCCTTTCCCCTGTGAGCTCAGACTTGCTGCTGCTGCCTTCTGAAAGAACCAAATGCATTTTTGCTGCCTTCTGTCTCAGCTGGTCCTGCAGGGCAGGCCTGGGTTTCCAGTGCGCCGATAAGGCGTGCTGCAGGTAACAGCTGTCCACAAACAAACCCCACCTAACTCAAATGGAGTGGTATTTTTGACTTGAGCAGGCTGGCCTGAGAGGTAGAAAGTGTAATTATCAAATCAGGGCAAGCTATAAGAGGAATAAATGCACTGCTTTGCATAAGGTCAGTCACCTGAGCACTGCACAGATACACTGGGTTTAATGCCATATTAAGAAACAAGGGCCTTTGGGCCAGTGAAGGTCTTGGTGACTGAGATGTCTGAAGAAGCAACATGGAAAAGGCAACTGGAATGTTATCCCCCAGGATGTCTGCTGTTGCCACAGCTGGGTTAACTTAAATGATTCTTCCACAGGGAAGTCATGCCCTAGGAGAAGGCAGCAAATTTAATTTGTGGAACATGTATCGCTAATGACTAACCAGTTGTACAGTTTATATGACTGATGCCTAAGGAGTCGCTCAGGTGTCACAAAGCAGCTAATTCAGTGGCATGACATAAATCCTGGTAACGAGAAATGACAGAAAATCAAATTTGATGTCACAGTCCAGGCTGTAAATTTTCCTTGGACATGGAAATATATGAACAGCATAGAAATCCATTTTTAGAGCAGTTTTTCAAAACCAGATCACAATCATTGCTGCATGGACTCATGTTTACTGTGGGTTCTTTGCAGCAAGTATTCTAATTTAGATAATTAGATGCAATATAGTCCTGAGCCTTTTTCCATCCTCATCCACCCAACTGTGTTCTAAATGGAGTAAGTGGAAAGTGAGTTTAGCTGGAGTTACCATATCCAGACACATTCCAATGCCCACAGAACCTGAAATAACAAGCGGGTGGGCAACTACATGTTGGCAGATAATGATTCACAAAAGCCTGAACGTTACTCAGAGATTTCATCAGGAGATTTCAGGGGGCAGCTGCCTTATTTATAGAGGTACATAAAGATATAAATATGCATAAGTGACAGAGAAATACCAGTGTGAATTTCTTTGTCATCATATTATATTATATCCTATTGTAGCATATTTCAAGAGAAAGGGAAGAACTATAATGACATTCACTGTTTACGTGACACACTACATCTCTGCGCGCAACTCTCTATATGGTTTTCACAAAACAGTATGTGTCTAACTCTAGAACCAACAGATAACCTCCATTTTCCCAACCTCTTACCCACTGAGTTTCAGAGAAATATTTAAATGTGTCTAGAAGGCATTTTAGATAATTCACCTACCGATCTGGGCTGAAAATCCTCTTCTTTAAGTCCCCATTTGTCTTTATGGTACTGGTAATACACCATGTTCTGTTTCATTACTTCATCTTTCTCATCAAACAGAAGGTAACTAGCAGCACAAGAAGCTGCATTCTTCATGTCATTCACTAATTATTAAACACACACACACAAAAATCGAGATAAGATAAATGAACAAATTCCTACTAATATCTAAGTTCTGAAAAACTCAGATGGAAACAGAACCCATATTCTACCTCCCCACTGGTTGCATAGAAAAAAAACCTGCTTCCCAGAAAGAATATGCTATATTTGTGTCCTGAAACAGGTCAGGTCATGATTCAAAAATGAGGACTCAGCTCTGATGGTTTTCTATGAAAATCCTAACAAAACGTTCCTCCCAGGTATCCCAGTATCAGCCCACAGCTTAGTGATATGCACTGGGGTACTTATTAAAAAAACCAAACACTTCCCCACTTCTTTGTACTAGAACTGACAAAGAGGGAAGAGTCAATGTGTAAAATGTGTAGTCAAACAACATAAGCAGAAGTCATTAATGGCCTGATGCTACATGGTTGATGTGTCTTCTCTTCGATGTTGGAGCCTGCAGGAATACCTGTAAAGGCTACAGTGCAAGTAGCTCCTCAAGAAACCACAAAATTCATTAAATGATTTACCTATCAAATATGTAATCACTGAGAACCAGATACTACGATTTCGGTTAAGGGACGATTTCGGTCCCTTCTTTCTTCAAAACCCATTTAGGCCCATTCTAACAGGATTATAAGAATCCACTAGGAAAAAGCAAATTATATGGAATACTCTGTAGGTTTGTCTGTGGAAGAAATTCTGAATAGTAAATTGAAAATTGAGTATTTATTCAATAGAATAAATTTGTTATGTTAAACGTGTTTCTTTGAAGTTACAATCTTTAGTTTCTCTAACTGAATGAATTAGAAGTTTAAGGAAAAATGTATTGTTAGAGCTATACAATTCAGCCACTTAACAACCACGGGGGTTTGACAGCTTAACCACTATGGCTTTCTTGGCACAAACCATAGGTTTTTGTACACAGGTGTACAAAATGGGTCTGTGCCATTCCAGATGTTCCAATGTATAGTAAGTGGCCGACATTGTTTACCCTAATATGTTATGAGTTACTTCAAAAAGGCATCTAAAACATAAAATACATATAATGAACATTTTTCATTTATATGAAGATTTAACATTTATATGAAACTATGAAAAGCGTTAGCAATTTGTGTTGGCAGTAGGTATCACGTACAGAACGAAGGGCAGTGATGGATCAGACCACATCTACTCTGTAACTGCCTCATCTTTCCAATACAGACCATGCATAACTTAAAACAGAGGGTCCTGCAATGTATTTTTTCATAGAAAATTTTATGAGCGCAGGCTCAACATAGAACATTTTGTGTCCTGTGTCTGTTAACTACAGTAATACAGGAAGAAAAAGATACCAGGAAACTCGAGTTTCTGTCCTGAAACAGGTTAAAATGCAGGTTCTGGAGGCCACTATTTACGTTCTAAAGCATTGTAACTAGAGTTATGAATGGAATCTGTCTCACATCACCCCAATGTTATTTAAGCACAATAAATCACTACTTACATTTATAATACGCAAACTGCAAGTAATGGTACATGGTGGCCACAAACTTTTCAACAACAAAGCCTCCTATAACGGGCGTCAGATTACTCTCACACTGCACTTTGCATGCAAGGACTTCAATATAATGATCTAGAAGGAAGAAAACGACAACACAGGATATGGGTAGCATGTTGTTACAGTGCCTCCCATTTGCTACCCATTAAAATTTGGCCTTATGATGCTCTCCTGAGTCCTGTGCATCTGCAACTTGCTGCTTGGAAGCACTGAGAACCTACAACTCCATTTGAAGTACATATCAAGTAATGGTAATCAGCCCTTCCATAAAAATCTGCACAGTCGACTTTAAACATATCAAAGCTGGAATTTCAGAGAACTCAGCAGTTAGGTTTCACTGACACCTACAGACAGCTTGTGGCAGTGGATTTTACAGTGTTACAGAGTATTGCATTATTTCCTAACTGTAAACTTAACAGTGCTTTCTTTTATTTTTTACATTTTGCAATCCTTTGCATTTTCATGAAATTATTGCACGGATAAGGTCCACGTGCTGCTGAGTACAACTGTGTGACAGAGATATACAGCAGGTGATTGCAAAATAAACCTCCAGAGATGGCCACATATCATGCCTGCAGTTTGGATGTTCTAAAAGAGAAGAAAAAGGAGAATATGCCACTCACCACAGAACGACTTTCAGCCAGGAATGTTTAGGTTCACAAGCTTACCCAGCCTAAAAAAGCTTGCTATAATGCAATAGGACTACAGGTGATTTTATCTTCAAGGAAATACATTTCAAGAAACCTTCCAACAAAGAGTATCAAACATTTTCAGGATATATCACATTTGGCTACAACACAGAAAAGAAGTATTTTTAAGTCTTAGTTTACCTGTTAGCCATATTAGGCAGGTGAAAGCAAGTTAGATAAGCTTGTGCAGCAAGTCTCTGACCAAGACAAAAGAACACTTTTCATCCCTGAGAACTCCTAGAATGAAGAACACTGAAGCTAACTAAATGTAACTGGCCACATGAAATTACCAGACTCATCTTCTACAAGAGCAGTGGAATCTCCAAGCACAGCAGGGTTCAATTCCAGCCAGCACTTAAAGTCAGAGACTCAAGTCCCTCAGTGAAACAATCCCATGCAATGAGGACAGCTGGCTTCCAAACATAACTCATTGCTCAAGGATACATACCTAGTGTAAGCCCCAAATAATTCTGGTTAAGCCTTATTGTTACATCTGCTTTCTGCAGTAAAAACCTCAGAGGCAGAATATTTCTCCCTGCAGCAAGAGCACAGTTCAGCCCAGGCAGTGTAAGTAAATTTGAACGTTCTCATCTCAAGAGCGAAATACTGAAAGGCACATACATAGTCATGATGACATCATGCAGTAACTCCTACCTTTCCTTCCCATCACTACTGCTGGGAATTGTCCTTCCCTTCCAGGGAGTAAGAGGAAGGATGGCAGCAAGTGCCAGTCACAGCTGAGCATGGACACTGTATTCTTTACAGTGGCTTGGGAGTTGACCTGATGCCAGAGCTCTGACCAACTGGGAAACAAAGTCTGTGTTTCTTGCTTTACTGCCTGTGATTTCACCTTTGCTCCTTATTTGCTGTGCTAAGCACCTGCCTGCTTTGCCCAATAGTAAATCAGGTCTTGAGGCCTGCAATAGCTATTCCATGTCAGCTGTACCGGTGGATATCAGCTGCACACCGCAAGAAACTGGAGCCACTCATGTGTAAACATATTTCATGAAAATTTCCCCTCTCCAACACATATTATGGCTTTAGGACAAAAAGTTGGGCTATTTTTCCTTATGGTAACTTAAAAACATGAAAAATGCAAGAGAATTTCTAAGTTTATTGAGAAAACTCGCATGTGTTCTCCACACAAATACTGTCAACAATGCTGAGCCCAGAGCACTGGAGAAATTACTTGTTTCTTTTGCTGCCAAAGAGCATAGGGGATGTATATGTGCCATTTTGACAATAATAAAAAAAGTTTATGTCCCTTTTACTCTGCAAAGCAATGGATTTTTTTTTTAAGCTACACACGAAAAATAGATGTTATCTACTAGTAAAACTCTAATGTAGGAAGGATGAAAAACAGACAAAAGAAAGGACATACAGATCACTGGACCTACACAAATCCCCAAAGCCAGCTTCAAAGGCAGGTTAACAACTGAGCCTCAAAGGCAACCAAACCGATACTGAAAGGGTGGCCAAGAGACCTGTCTGGATTAACCATTGCTACCAGGACGGGGCAGTTATTATCACTTAAAAATCCATGTTATTCTGACACAGAACTTCCATGTTAATACAAGTACTCTGTTCTGATTTCCTGATAGCCCTCGTTTATGTTACTAAAAAGAACAAAAACATAAACCAGAATTCAAGCAGCTTACAGTGAATCTAATAAAATCCTATTGGCCCAAACTCAGGAACAGGACCTGGGTAGTCAATCCTACGGACAAATTGAAATGTACTTTCCTTTCTGTCTCCTAACCACTCACCTGCAACGGAAAGATAGAAGTCTTTAAAGTCTGTGATCTCTCGAGAGCCTTCACAGGCTGCAATACAGTCATCATAGGCTTTGAAGAAATCAGGAAGAGCCAGTTCCATGTCCGAGATGGATGTTCTCCAGTTGTCACCATTATACGCTCTCACAGCCCTGACAAAGAGATTCTGAAAAATTGGCAGGAATGAAAACCAGCAGTAACTGATCTGTAGGAAGCGGTGGGTAAATTCAAATGCAGTAAATGATGTCTTGGCATTTCTGGATGACTACATAAGCTATTCTCCAGGTAAGATAAGGACAACAAATACAGATGACTAATGGATTTTATCAGGTATTTTCTAGAGAACAGAGTATGTCATTCCATTTCTGATCAAAAGAAAAGCCTGCAGGACAGAAGTAACAGTGTGAATCTAAAGCATGGGTTGTGACAGAGATTTTCAGTGGAATCTTAACACAAAATGTCTGAGTTATTTTAAACTGTGCTGCTACAGCACTCATGAATTTGAAAAACTATGCACCTGCTTAGCTCCAGTAGTGATATGCATGTAGTAGCTTTCAGGTATGCCACTGTCTGTGAATTACTGTGACCCATTTATGGAACAATGAAGCGCAGGACAGGTGAGAATTACTGAATGCTTCAAGAAGGCAGAATGGAGGTGACTGAGATGACAGAAAGAGGGAAAGGAGAGTAAGAATTGACAACACATAAGCAAATGAGATCCCCAAATCTCACCCAGTAAGTGGAATAATAGAACAGTTCCAAAAGACCAAACTCTGAATAAAAAGCCTACCTCATAAGGCTTTATCTCCAAGTCTTTAATATGCTCCTCAGCATCAGGTATGCTCTTATAGTAGGCCATATTTCTTTGCATCATTTCATCATCTGGATGCTTCAGAAGAAATGTGTGAGCTGCTGCAATAGCTTTTGGAAGATTATTAGCCTAAATAGGGATAGGGAGAAGAGGAAGGAGTTAAAAAAGGTTAATTGGGAAAAAAACCAAAACAGTTCAAATGTTCCCAGTTTTTGTCAATGACTTTCCTATAGTCTCTATAGTCACAAACTTACTTATACTGAAAACATAGTCTCAACAGGTACAATCATACAGTAAAACTGGTATAATTCTTCTCAGTTTTACTCCTAGTTTCATCACCACGAACAATTTTTTTCGTTTTATTGTTGCAGATAGCACAGATGATGGTTGTAAATCGAAGAAATTAGGGGGTTTTCCCTTCTCCCTCCCCTGTTCATAAAGCTGACATCTTGCTCCTGTGTGGGAATAATCTCAGCAAATACTAATGCCAACCTATGGATATTGGGCAGGAGTCATCACTGACCATGTTTACATGGTGTTTATGTCACTTATTTGCCTAGCAGCACAAAGGACAACATTAAAATAATACATCTTCCTGGTGGTGTTATGAAGTTAAGAGTAAACTGCAGAGACTTGCTCAATAATTGTGTCCTAATGTACTATGTGATTTTCTGTACTCACTTTTAAACTAACTTTAGTCTCAACTGGATATACTTTCTGAAGTATACATTTCTCACTTGTAAATGCATGTACCAAACATGTAAGTATTTCTGTGTGCCTGCACTTATGGGTTTTTTATTTTATACATACACATATGTTTTCATAAATTATATAGTACATAGGCACATATTTAGGAAGAGTGAGAGAGAAAGCAAAAGTCTTGGGTATTTGTAAAATGTTAAAACCTTTTTTCTAAGCCAAGATCCACACCAACCCATTCAGTGTATTGATGTGTAGCTGATACTGAGCTCCACCTCACATTTGAAATAGCCTAGGGCAGTGTATGTTTAAAACCGTAAGGAGGAGTCACAGGCACGTATGCACACACACTCTTCTGTTTGCATCCATAAAAGGTATCCCTTCATTTCAGGAAGAAACCCAAGAGACAACTGCACTGAAGAAAGACTTCAACCCACCCATGGCTGCTGTGCCGCTATGAGTGTCCCAGTGCTGGAACACTGCCAGCTGCCCTTCCTGGTTGTCCCAAAACTACACGCTTCCAGTCAGCCCAGATGGTGCTAAACACAAAGGGAAATCTCAGCTGAACTTTCGTCAAATGCCTGATTTCTTTTGTGCTGTATGCTGTGATCCTGTTTCTTTGGCAGGCTGACAGGTCTCATTTTTACTTGGTTCATAATTCACTCTTGGTTTCAATTTTCACCTCTTAAAAATAAAATAAAAAAAGGTTTTGTAGAAACACGTTCCTAAGTGAACTCAGTGGCTCTGAGAAAGCTCCCTCCAGAGGAGCAAGCAGCAGCACAGAAACATCTACTCCAAGAATCTTAAGACGTGGCAGAATTTCACTCTGCAATCCACCTGAATAAACACACGGTCACTCCAAAAAATGACATAAAGCGTTTCCCTCCCACTTCTTCCTATACTATAAATGCTGTTGGGGAGGGGTGGGGGAAGGGACATTCCTTTTTCAGAAGCCACCAGCCAGGAAAAAGTCCTTTGGATGCAGCAGTTTGTAGGTCCCAAAGGCCCATTCAGAACTCCCCAAGTAATAAGGGCTCAGAGCTGGATTACAATCCAATATGAAAGACAATTAAAGGCAAAGACATCAAACTACACTGCTCAAACCTACTGCAAACGTGACTGAAAAACAGTTTAAAGAAAGAGGGAGGGATTCCTCCAATTTCCCTCTCACACTCCTGTCTGTCAGTTACTTGACTGTATTAGAAATGGTAAGCAGCACTGCTTTTTGCTGTGATTGCAAACTTTGCAAACATTGCAAACTTTGTATGTACCACAAGAGGGGAACTGATAGTTAAATTAAGACAAGAAAAGGAAACATTTGTGGTGATGTAATTTTCGTATCCTTATATGGTTTTGAGAATTTGAGGAATGCCTGCCCTCTCAGTAATTCAAAAGAAACCTTTGGTACCTTTTGTTTAGTGTGTGCAGAGGCTTTAATGCATCAAGTTAAGCTTTTTTGTACGGTCTTAGGGATGGCTTTCAATGCACAGAATGACACCAGTGTGATGCCGTGCATGTGAATACTGTTCTGGTTTTATAAGAACACATTTCCCCGCATCTGTTTGGAAAAAGTGCTGAGAAAACAGAACTTCTAAAAACAGGACACAGCAACAGTTCAGAAGATGTGTGCTTCCAAGTGGCAATCTCAAAAAGAATGCACAGGCAAACAACCCTATATAATATATACTGGGATATGTTGGGAGTGAATCCCTAAAAGAGAAAACAATCTTAGAGCTCAGCTTGTTTTCTCCTCCCCCCCCCCAGATGCTGTGTTCATTTGAAATGTGAGTAACTGCAGTATCTGAGGGGATGGCAGAAGGGACGGACATTGATACAGAGAACAGAAGATGAAGATAAGGAGGGAGAAAGTAATCAATTAGATCCTGGACAGATGACAAGAAGCTAGAAAAATAGGATGAAATCTGTTAAGGGAGGTATGTGTCCCCAGTCTTGGCTGACCCAAGAGTAAAAGGTAAATACCATTCCAGGGCTAGCATTAGTGTCCCACTTCAGCAGCCAGTTTTTCCTTCATTCCTTCCCACGGCTGCAACAAAACTGGAGTTTTGCAGGCATCAGACTATCTGCAAGTCACAGGCTGGGGGCTGCTGCACTTGAAAGAACTGGACCTGATGTGAGCAAGTGGAGAAGGTGGCCACACTGAGGGACAGGAAGTACGAAGAGCGCTTGTAATAGCAGAGCTGTGACATGAAGAGTCTGAAAAAGGTTCCAGAGAAGATTAGAAAGTAAGGCAGATGGAAAGATGAGGAGCAGGGATGGGAGTGACACAGCTACAGGACACAGAGGCAGGTTTCCATGGCCAGATGGAAGGGTTGATCTAGGGGACATGCTGGATGAGCGGTGGAAAACTGGTGAAGAGCAAGCTGGATGGCAGGTAGCAGGGAAAAAGACAAGGAACATGCTGATCCCACTGTCAGTTACATGAGCTGAGTGGGTGGAAGGGACTGAAAGTCTTGTCAAGGAGAAGATGATGAAGTGTACGCTGGGCAGCCTGGTGGGGGCAAGGACTGGGGGCCTGACCAGGGAGCAGGGGAGAAATGGAGGTGAGGTGGATTACAACTGGCAGCTAAACTGATGTGAAGGAAGCAACGGGGAATGAGGTTATGGCCCAGAGAAACCTGAGGGCCAGGCGAGAGGTCGGCATGAGCGGTGGCTTTTCCAGAATTGGGTGCACAAGGCACTTGCATCCATCGAGGCCGTGCTGGGACACGCCACGTGAAGAGACACACCATTCCGTCCCCCTCCACCACGACAGTGACAGGCCTGGAGAGAGACTCTGGGGAGGAGAGGCTGGGACGGAGGCGGGGGGTTGGGGAGCGGAGGCAGGGCAGGGAGATGGGAGGGGAGAGGAGGAGGGATGAAGGAGGGAGAGGGGGTCCTCACCTTGAAGTAGGCGAACTGCAGGTACTTGTAGGGCTCGCGGCGCTGGAAGTCCTCGAGGAGGTCGCGGCCGGGCTGTGCCTGTCGGAAGGCGGGCAGCCCCTGCTTGCAGCGCCGCAGGCACTGCGCCCGCCGAAGCACCCCGGCCAGGAGCCGCAGCTCCGCCAGCGCCGCCCCGGCGCCCGAGGATGCGGGGGACGCGGGCGGCGGCTGCCCGGCGGCGCTGCAGTTGCGGTGGCAGAACGCCTCGCTGTCGCGAAGCAGGCGGTACAGCCGCATGCTGACCTCCAGGTAGCTGACGCTCTCGGGCCAGTTCTCCGTGCTGTACTGGTCCAGCCCGTAGCGGTAGGCCGACTCCAGCGGCATCAGCTCGTCCCGTGGGAAGCTGCGGAAGCTGTAGCGCTCATACTGCGCCCCGGCCGCCGCCAGCAGCGCCGCCAGCGCCGCCACCCACATGGCTGCGACACCGACACCGCCCGCACGGCAACACGTCGCCGCCGCGGGGAGAGCGGAGCGGAGAGAAGGGAAGGGAGAGACGGCCCCGGGACCGGGGTGGAGGAAGGGGAAACGCGGAGCGGCCCGGGGGGAGGGCGGGGAGAGGCGATGTCGGGGAGGGAGCGCGGACGGGAGGCGGTGCCGAGCGGAGCTGGGCAGCGGCTCCTGCGCCCCCGCTGGTGCTCCAGTGGAGCCGGAGCTCTACCAGCAGCAGTCAGCTCTGAAAGGCAACTGTCTTGTTAATGTGTTTCTGGCGTCTTTTAATTTTTTTTTCTTTATGTATTTTTCCAGTGTCCCTGACAGTTAGTGTGGGGTTTTTTTGGTTTGGGTTTGGGGTTTTTTTCGGGTTTTGTTGTTGTTTTTTTGGATTGGTTGGTTGGTTGGTTTTTTTCATCCACAATTTAGGAGGTTTGTTTGAAAAATGTATGTTCTAAAACAATCTTTTGCACCCTTCAATTTTTTTGTGTGTGTGTTTATCTCCAGAACTTATAAACAAATGCATAGGTTCATGCATTCGTACTGTGATGAAGAGTGATAAGGACTGTTGGAATACTCCTGGGGTACTACTGCTCTGGACGTTATTTCCCTTGAAACTGGAATTTCAGATACAGTGCTAGAAGATCTTGCAGAATTATAAGTACTATTTCTGCTTCTTGTTGCTTTTTGATGTTTGGTTTCCTGAGAAAAAATAATGCGGAAGATCTACAAGGAAAGTGATTTTACATTTTTTAAATACTTGCCAGCTGACTGGTTTATACTTTGGATGTGAGCTACAGAGGGGGATCTATTCAGAACAGCCATGTCGTGGAGCAGCTGTTGCATGATTTATACTTGTCATTGCGTTCTCAATTTATAGGCTTATTTTTTCATGGATTATGCATTGAACTTTCCAGTAGTTTGTTTGCTCTTACATTTCCCTAAGGTTTAGACAAAAATTTAAAAAGTTACCAGCCTTAAGGATGAGTATTTCTTACTTTATCATGTCATGTTGCTGTTGGAAACCTCTTTTGGGTGTTGGTGGTATCCAAGGAATGCCCAGGATTTAGAGGATGAATCTGTATGTTCATATACTGAGCAGAAAAGTACAACTGCTCTTTCTGGTGACCTCTAGCTTTTTTACCCAGGTGGTCCATTTATCAAGATCACACTGCAGTGTGGCTAATTTTATTTGTTAGTTCCAACAGCTGTCATCTTAATGCAGAGGTTTGTGTCAGTTCTGTAATCCAAACTGGAATAATTGTACTCATGTGTTCTTACTTCCTGTTACCCATGCTGCTTCAGTGACATGGCACCTGAGGGCAGAAGAATCACAAAGCTATCCCAGAGTTTGCCAAATGGAAATAACAGGGCAGTGGGAAGTCCTCATTGTTAAAAGGCTGGGTGCATTCATTTTAAGTCCCTGTAATTTGATCAGTAATTGAGTTCAGTTACTTGAGGCTGAGCTTTCCAGACAGTTCCATTCCATCAGGTAATTTGAAGTCACTTCAGGGGATATGTGTGTGTGAATGATGCTGGAAAAGTGATCTTACTGCCCTACTTGGTAGATGTTGCATTTTGGAAAAAAGCAAAACAAAACCCAAACAAACATGAAAAGATTGTTGCCCTAATTTTGTTTTGATGAATATTTTTCTGGTCTTCAGGTGTGCAAGGATGTCACTGGCTTTGTTCCTCATGCTGTAGCTGGTTCCTTTATTCATGTTTACCCTTTTGTATTTCTTTGATATGTTGAGATTATTGTAGGTTTTAATTTTTTGATAACAGGATCAGAAAAGGGAAAAGCTTCCTGCTTCTCTTCAGACACTGACATACTAACTCAAGAGTCATTTTGTTACGCATGAGCATCAAGGAACAAGGCTCTGGGGCCCTAGACAGATCTCTTTCTGTATCCTTGCAACGCAATCAATTCATCGTTTCAATCATCTTTCAGAAAATCCATGGAAACTGAACATGAAATGGCCATGAACTTGAATAAAACTTGCCTTTGAGTTTGCTTGTAATGTTTGAGAAGTGGACAGAAAAAACCCTGGATGTGGCCAACAGTATCTTCCTAAGGGCTTGTGTTTGAAATCTAATCTCAGGGGCATCTCTGCCAGCTGCCTTTGTGACACAAATTGATTTCTTGTCACAGATGTACACACATTCTGTAATGGAACTTGCTGCTGCACCACCATCATCTTGAGAAGCCACCACTCCCACACCTGAAAGCTCCAGCATGAGCAGTTCATACAGCAGGAGAGCCCAGCAGTGACAGAGGGGAGAGGAGAAGAGCCTTGAGAAGTGGAGTACTTCTGCTATCTGATAACTATGGATGGGACCAACAGGTGCAGAACCCTAAGCTACTCTCCATTCTGCTGCAGGACTTTCTGAATTCCTGCCTGAAGACAGTTGATGGTCTGCCAAGGAACTTCTGCAGGTAAAATGTGAAGTGGCTGCAAGCTGTTTGAGGTATTGGTTTTCTCCAGCTAAACTCAAGTGGCTGGAGAAACTCAGGTGGCTCCCCTTTTATATTAATCCCCAATCTAGGTGCTTTTCAAGTGAAATCTAGGTAGAATCATAGAATAGTTTGGGTTGGAAGGGACCTTTGAAGGTCATCTAGTCCAACTCCTCCACTGTGAGCAGGGACATCATCAAGTAGATCAGGTTGCTAAGAGCTCATCTGACCTGACCTTGAATGTTTCCAGGGATGGAACACCTATCACATATCTGGACAACCCATGCCAGTGTTTCCCCACTCTTGTCATAAACAGTTTCTTCCTTAGACCTAATCTGAATCTATCCTCTTTTGGTTTGTAAGCATTTCCCCTTGTCTTATTGCAACAGCCCCTCTTAAAAAATGAGTCCCTGTCTTTCTTAGAAGCCCACTGGGATTCACCTGGGAAGCCGGAAGCCAGAAGCCTCTGTAAATCAGCACAGCCAGTCGTGTTCCAAGGTTGGATCAGCTCCTTCTGATGGGCAAACCCCATCTGTTCCAACTACTTCCAAAAAGTAATAAATGTAGAGGTAGAGACATACATACAGAGGTGCCTTGGGAATGTCCAATAAATGTGCAAATATAGATTTGGTTTTTTTTCTTTTGAATTATTATGGCAGTCATGCCAGTAGTGCCTCCTCCACCGGTTCTGTGCAGTGCCTTGGGCCATTTTCTGACCCCCAGGAGTTGCCCCCAGCTGCATTGCCTGATCACTGGTTGTTGCATCTCAAAGCACTGTTGCATTGGCTTCTGAGTTCTGACTTTCAGGCTGGAGCAGCAAACTGTGTTGTTATGAGCAGATATCCTGTCTCCATTTCACTGGGCTTGGAGCAACCACATTTACTAAGAAGTAGGGCTTTGAAAGCAGAGAACAAAACTGGTTGGAAACTGTTGGGTGGGAGCAGGCTGGTAGAGCTTTATGTTCCCTCATTTTGAAGAAACAGTTGTGTTTTCTGAATGGAGGATGAACGGGGCTTTGGGGAGTGTTTTTTTAAGGCACGCATGTTTGCAACAATTTCCTGATCCCCAATCTAAAAGAAAGTGTGGTCACCCACCAAATGTTTAAAGCTTCAAGATTATGACATTAGTAAGTGGGAAAAGTTGTGGCTGTAGATCTACATTCAGTCTGACGCAAAGAGTATTTTTGTTATGACAATATGCAGCCTCCCAAATTTCATAATCAGAGTTTGACCAGCTGCTCTCTCTCTACTGCACTTTGTGGACTCATGCACTAGTCAGTGGTGATCTCGGGACTAGAGAACACCCAGCTTGGAAAAAACTTGTGTAGAGCCATTCAAAAATGCTAGCATGGCTTCAAAACTAGACAAAGTTCTAGATCTTTATCCATTCATTTTATTTTTAAACTGAGAAAGGAAATCACAGGTAATTAAAAAAAAAAAAAAAAAAAAAGAAAGAAAACAACATCAACAAAAAACCCCACAAACAAACAAAAACCCCCACCAAAACCAAAAAACCAAACCCCTGACAGTTCCAGTATTAACCTTTCCTTCAGATGCCATTTAATGCTGTGGTTTCTAGATCTAGTATGACTAGTTCTCTATCCCTTTGCTTTCTTAGGCAGAGCATCAGTGCTTATGTAGGTGTGAGACCTAAATGACCAGTGACAAAGCAAATGATTCCTTAGAAACGCTTTATACTCGGACTGTTTGTCCATGTTCCTCAGAAGAGGCAGCTACAGGATGGAGTACAGTGAACTCAACAATTCTTCATGACAGTGGCTGCCTTTGTAGCAGCGGCTCTTGTATATTACAGAGCTGAGCCTGCCCTTCTGAGATCAAAAAAACATGCAGGTGCAAGTGTTGGAAATGTTGTATCTAAGTAGTTGTTATTATTTCACACTTCAGGTTTGAAAGGCTGAGAAACCCGGAACACCAGATCCTGTGGGAATCTCCCCTCCCCACCCCGCGGAGCTTCAGCACCGCGGACAGCGGCGGCCGGGGTCCCGGCGGGGTCCCGGAGGGGTCCCGGAGGGGTCCCGGTGCCCGCCGGCCCCAGGGCGCGCCTAGGCCGGGCCAGGAATGAGGTGAGGGAGCCTGTTAACAAACTGCAGTCTGCTATTCCACTTCTCTTTTGTGCCTGGATAGAATCCTGTATTTGCTTCTTCATTCTCCCTACAGGGAAGACAGTTTCAGCACAACGTAGCAAGTGAGGTTGAAAATGCCTCCCACTCTGGGGATGTTGCTTGGTCAAGAAGGGCCTTCCATAAGCACCACAAGAAGAAACTGGAAATAAAAAGTATCAGCCTTCCTTACAGAATAACCTTTTCCCCCCATTTTTATCAATTTTGATGTGTGGGAAAGTTCTATTTAAATATTCATTTTAAAAAAAAAGAGGATGCTTTAAATTGAAGGAGTAAAAGTATTAGTTATGAACAGCATAGTAGGATTATGGAATGCAGGCACAAAATTTTAAGAAATGCAGGAAAACTTGACGGCCCAATATGAAGCCAAATTATGCACAGGCACTGTATTTGCATCTTCAGCTGTATGATCCTGTGCGTGGGTTTTATTTCCTCATAGCATCACCAGCAGGCTCAAATGCAGGATCTCCACACAGTCCTTTCAGACATCTACAGGCCCTGCTTGCACAGCCTAAAGAATAACACACTATTTGTTCCTGAGCTGGACAATCTCAGATTTTAAGGGGGCACATGAAAAATACTGAGTTTTGATGAATCACCAGCTGAAAGCTGCCTTACAATCATAAGGCAAATGTAACAGCAGGTAATGTAATGACAATACCATCACAGATGATTGACTCTGCCTCTGTCCCTGGCTCATACACCAAAATATGGTCTCCTCCCAGAGATGCCAGATGAGGTGAGGCTGGGGCTCCCTAACAGAAGGCAGGCAGGATTTTGAAGAGCCATTTATAACCTTAGTCAGAGGGTTAGAAGGCCAAAAGAAAGGAAAGGAGGTATTGCAGGACTTTTTCTTGCTTCTCAAAGTGTAAATGCCTATGACTTTCAAGCCTACATGTGACTGATTTTAGACACACTCTCCTTGCTCACCCACAACCACCTGAGAATATTAACCACAAATCCATAGCAGCTGCCATCCTTTCCTATAGGAAATAAGCATAAAAATGGCTTCACCACCTGTATTCACATACAGGCAAACTGTGGCTGAAATCTGTAGAATTACAGAGGGTCACTTACTGTACTGCATTGGCAAGAGGCTCTGAAAGGGAAGAAGTGGAAACCACTGGAGCAACACTCACATAAATGTAGTATACAGTTCTGCAGGCTCACAGAGGAAAATTGCTTGTACTTCCAGCTTTAAGCTGCACAGTAGTGAATGGGGATCAGGACAAACTGTAGAAGTGTTGCCAAGGCTTTCACACTGGCAGTTTCTCAACAGCTTTGTCACTGCTGGTACCCAAAGATGTGAGCTTGGGTATGTCCATATAGGCTCGAACAGCAGCTCTGGATTGCAGAGCTATTCTCATAGCAATAAGGTGACTCTTATTTTGGCAACTCATACATATATGAGGAAAATGGATGCAAGCTAGCATATTTAATTATTTAAGGATTTGAGATTTCAGCACAACTTATGCCTTGATTTTTTTTGAAAGTAGAAGATGAAGAAGAAGCATCTCTTGATACTACAAAAGCTAGAGGCAACACAGGAATGATACAGCTTTCAAACATATAATATGCAACAAAATGTAACTGCAAGTCTGTGCTTGGAAACAGAAATTTAAGAAAAACACATTAGCTGAGCTTTTAAAGCATAAGCAAGAACATCTTGAAAAAAAATGCAGTGCTAGTTAGAAAATAAATATATCTCACAGTTCGAGGAATCCGGTTCTAATTTGCTGTAAATAGAAGGGATTTTTGATCATAGTAGTGCAAATTTTATTATTCAGCTTCAGTCAGTGGTAGAAGAGAGAGAATTAGGACTTCTAATCTTCCTTCATAACTCTTTTGCAGGGTTTTCCATGAAGGAGGTACTGAGCATCTAACTGATTCTCAAGCAGACTATGTCTTACATACAGTTCTGGGAAATAATGTTTCAGTGTAAACCATGAGTTATCCTGATATGTTTTTCTTTCTGGAATACAACTGCTTCCCAAAGCTCCAGTCTGATCGAAACTAAATCATGGGACAAAAAAATTTTAAAGTAGTATTGACTACAAACACTTGGTTGGCTGCCCCTCAAAAGGCAAGCATAGACTAAGGTGATTTATTCACACAGAAATTCGTTCTTACACCTGTGACCCAAGGATGTGCAGCAAAGATATCAGTCCTTGACTTGCAGTTGATACTAACAGGATTGCTACAGCTGTGACTGGCTCAATATGTCATGATGGTATCTACTCCTCTAATCCAAAAGTTCAAGTTGAAACAGTGGTAATAAGAATTCTGAGAAGAGGCAATCATATTAGGGACTGGTAATTCATCTTATGGACTGGGTTGAGAGACGCACTCACTTTGAATGTCTCTGTGACAGTGTTGTCTGACACAGTTTCAATTTGTTAGGTTTTTCTTAAATACATCCCGACCTATAAAAACAAAATTTGCTGAAAGCCTTTCTAGCTCTCTTTTTATGTTATTAACAATTCCCTAAATTCAACACTTCTTAAAAATATTTCTACACTCCGCAGTGTTTCTCTACAGCTGTCCCAAATTTTCTCTCATTCTGGACCTCTCATTGAGGTATAGTCACCTTCTTTTAACCAATCTTCTTTTAAAGAGATATCTTTTATTTCTATTTCAGACATAGGATTTTATCCATGCAATAGCAATCCCAGTCTTGATCTCTGCAGTTTATAATTAATATTAGTGTTTTACTTCAAAACAATAAGAAATAATGTTCTTAGTTTATACTTTGTTCTAGTTAATTTTTTATCTCTACATAAAGACAGCCAAAGAACAACTTCATAGGGTCAACCAGTACATAAGATCCAAGTATAAACTATCCTATTTCTGTTCCATATTCTGATATTATTAGCTAGTTGAGCATTGACAAATGCCTTGGGGTTTGACCAGCTTTAGCCAACAGATCAACATTTGCATTGCACAGAGACCATTTCTGCTTTACTCATGAGCCAAACAAAAACCACTAGCTAATTAGAAAAAGGAGCTGTTCGGGCAGGCTTTTGCATGCTTGTAGTTTGGGATCATCCAATAACCTCTATAATTCACAGTGACTAGCCAAAGCCAGCAAACTCTGTTCAGTGCTCCCCAAAGGCTTGGTTTACAAGTGCCTGTAGCAGACTGAAGGAGGTTTTGCAGTGCAGCAGGAGACATCATCAGCAATGAAAAGCCCTGGCACAACCCAGAGGGCTGCTGCAGTCTGTAAAAGTACAAGAAGAAGTAGGTTAGTGTGAACCTTAGATTAAGTGCTACAGCCCAAGATGAGACTTTGCTTAGATACTTACCAAAAAATAATCAGTCCTTACTTATAACAATTTGATAGAAACTTGTGGAGAAATACTTTTATTTTGTTTAAATTTCATATATTCACCATAGTTTAGCTCCAAATCAATATTCTCTAACACAAATACCAAAGTAAAACTAAAATACCAAATCTTGTGATAAACAGACACAGTAAAAGTATCTGTTGGATAGATTAACATTCTGTAATGTAGGTAGAACACCACACAAAGGAATCCTCCTGAGATTTCATAAGAAAGCACAGCAAAGCTTCTAGTTCACATGGATTTGATAAAAAATCCATAAGCACTGACTCTTTCTGAAGTTGACCTTGTATTTACGCCTTTTTCAGAGGACAGTTGTGTAGAAAGGAGACTGCTGAAGATTTCCCGGATGCTCTCTGTACTCCTGGTGTTTAGTTTTGACATGAGTCATTACCAAGAATCCCAGAAAAATCTACTTACAATGGCAGTACCAGCATCTGGCTCAGGGTTAAGAATGTAGAACCATTTTCAAATCAAATATGAAAAATAATTCAGTAATAACCAAATAAAAGGCATCATACAGGGTGCTGCAATTTCTTTGAACTTCTTTAACTTTTGTTCATTTGTTCTTCATGAACTGCTCCAGCGTGGGTCCCTTCCCACAGGGTGCAGTCCTTCAGGAACAGATTGTTCCAGTGTGTCACAAGTCCTGCCAGCAAACCTGTTTCAGTGTGGGCTCTTCTCTCCACAGGTCCTGCCAGAAATCCTGCTTCAGCACAGGCTTCCCAGGGGGTCACAGACTCCTTCAGGCATCCACCTGCTCCAGCATAGGGTATTTCATGGGCTTCAGGTGGATCTCTGCTCCACTGTTACCTTCTATGTGCTGCAGGGGGACAGTCTGTCTCACCACGGCCCTCCAACTTCTGGCAGCTTCTCACAGAAACCCTTCCTGTAACACCTCATACTACTAAACCCTTGCCATGCAAACTCAATACAGCTGATTATAATGAAAGCACAGTAAGAGTGGGTTTCCCACAGTCTCACAAGCTCCCCTCCTCTTGACTCCCATGCACTACACTCTGAGATGGAGAAGCTGTGCCATCTTGTGCCAGCTACACACAGCAGTTTTTGATAGGCAGTTTTTCACTGATGTAATCTGCAACAGACCATACCAAGACAGTTCAGGTTTAAACCACTTGTATCATCCTCCTGGTTAAAAAAATGGACTCTTTACTGATGGCGACCTCGAAGGCCTGTGCTTTCATGTGTCAGCCAAAAACTGTATGCAAGATACTTACCTTTGACTAGTGGAGTACTGTACCACAAAGGATAGCTGTTCAGAGCAACAGCCTCCCCCCCAGGCCAGAATCTGTTCCTGCTCCTAATCCTATGTGCTTCCTGCTCTTACCTTGCCTCTGAGAGTTCTCAGCTTTCTGCTGGGTCTGATGCCCAAACCAAACCAAAACCACCCCGCAAAGACTCAAAAAATTCCTGACCTGCAGTATGGCCTCAAACAATACTACACTAGTTTAACACAGCAGAGGTGAACGCAGCAACTGTTCCTTACAGCATTCCCAGAATGGGGAACAGGGAGATCTCAACCTCCCTGGCCCTTGCTCTCTGACACTATCTTGTGACCAACTGCACATATGACAACACTCCTGCTCTGATGGAGATGGGACCCTCATTTCAAGGGGATGCTCGTTCCATGTTATATCCATGGATATAACATCCATCTTTTTTTTCCAGTGGGATCAATGGATCTCTTTACAGGCCAGATAGATCAGTCAGAGCTAAATGCAGACAGATACAAATCCACTCAGGCACTGAGGTGTAAACAGACAATGCTGGGAAATCTGTATTTCCTGGGATCCTATGTGGTAGGTCACAGTGGAAACAAGTTTTCTCTGGCTGCAAAGAAACGTTTCAACTTTCCAAGCTGGACTCAAGCCAGGTAAAACCAACTAGGAGTCTGTTTCCTTTCTACATGAAACTATCTTATCCTCCCTTGTTTCTTCAGATGGAAATATATGCCCAAACACTGTGGTACCTCCAACTGTTAGAAAAGTTACCACTTCATCTAGAAGGTAATTACTGGTTTTTTTCCAGTTTTACAACATAAAACAACTAACTGTTCTCATCTTGTTAGGTCAACCATTATCAATATACTACTATAAAGTTCTGTACTTTCACAATACTGTTGTCTTAAAACTCCATTGTGCTCTATGCACACCTATATCAGCTACTTTTTTTTTTTTTCTGATGAGATCCCTGTATGCTAAAAATCATTAGAGCCAGTAATGCACTGAACTTCACCATATTTAACTGTCCTTTACAGGAAGCAGGACATTTAGTCATCCACCAGCAGGGAGTGTCCAATACACCTGATACGCCACCAGAAGCTCTGGATGCCATCCAGAGGGACCTGGACAGGCTGGAGGAGTGGGCCCATGGGAACCTCATGAGGTTCAACAAGGCCAAGTGCAAGGTGCTGCACCTGGGTCAGGGCAGCCCCCAGTACCAATACAGTCTGCTGCCCTACATGGGCCAGACCCTGAAGAAGCTGCTGCGGGACCTCCTGGAGGTGTGCCAAGTGCTGTCCCAGAACACCTTCATGCCAGAGCTGCACCTGGCCACTGGGCAGCAGGGCACCTGCATCGAGTCCTGGCATGACCTGGGGCATCACATCATGTACCAGCTGGTAGTGTTCCTGAGGCCACCCCCAAGGCACTCTTTCCTACTGCAGCTGCCCAATGGGATGGATGTGCCAGAGAGGTGCTCTGACATCCATGTGTTGCTGGAGTGCTTGCGCTCCAGGATGACGGGGGATATGTTGTGCTTTGTCCACCCCACGTACA